AAATTTTCATGTCTTACCATTTTCTGCATTTCATATCTTTTAATTAACTATAAAACATTGTATTTTTCATAGTTAAAGATTAAAAAACTATTTAAAAAGTTGAGAGATGAAAAGTATGTAAACTTTAAAGTTGAAGGACCTAAATTTTTTGGTTAAATAACCATGTTAGTCCCCCAACTTTTTGATTTAGGTCAAACTTATTCCAAAACTTTAAAAAGTACTAAAAATGTCCTTAAACTTTAATTTTTGGAACTGAAATAATCCCTGAACTTTTGTTTAGTATCAATTTAGTCCTTAACATTTGAAGACTTAGACCTTAAAACTTTGATTATAAGTACTAATTTATTTATTCAATTTTATAAATACAATTGGAAAATATATATAATGATAGTAAAATATAATTATTTGATTTGATTTTATTAATTTTTGAAAAAGAAATTGATTTTGTGGTAAAATAATGAATATCAAGTAACACGTTGAGATAAGTACTATTTTGGTATTCAATATTAAAGTTTAGGGATAGTTTTGGTATTTTTAAAGTTTAGGATAATTTTGATATAAATTTAAAATATTAGGGACTAAATTTGGTATTTCTGTTGTACCTATGATTTTGATGATTACAAAACACAATTGAGTGACTAATTGATTTATTTAAGTGTGTAGTTGAATTGCCAATATACTGCAAGGTAAGCAAAATGAGATTGCATTAAAAAGGGCTCAAATGGTAAAATTATGCAGAAAGCTGGCTTAAGAAAATTGCAACCGACTCTGGGAAGAAAAAATGCAGAAAGCCGGCTGCAGATTTTGTTGAGCCGGCTCTACAGGCAAAAATTTGAAAACTGTTGTTTGGCATGCGTGGAGAAAAGACGCAAAGCCAACTCCAACTTTGCAGCCGGCTGTGAGGGTGCATTTAATGCACAACGGTCGAGTTATTTGAAGATTATTTAATGTGTTTAAAGTTGGAATCCCAAAGCCGGCTTTAGGCTTTGCAGCCGCCTGTGGAAGAAAACAGAATGTGTAGAAAACCCGCAGAGCCGGCTTCAGAAATGGTGAGCTGGCTGTATAGAGCCGGCTCTAGAAGTGTAAGCAGCTCTACTGACAATTCTGCAACTCGAATTAAGCAACCTGCAGAGCATTAAACGACCCCCAACGGCTAGTAACGGCTATTTTCGACCATGGGGTTATAAATTTGATTGGTAGAAGATCTGAAGAAGTTTAGAGAGCATTGTATTGAATATCTTTAACTACCAACTTGTGCTTTAACTTGAGATTTTGATCTTTGAGAGATCCTTATTTGTAATCCTCTTCTTGTTCTATTTGTGAGTGATCTTGGGGGTATGTTGATTCCTTCAAGAGTGATCTGTAGAGAGGATCTTTGGGGTTTATATTGTAAAGGGGTGAGATTTGAGAGAAACACCCTTATTCTTGTAAAAGAATTGAGTGGCTCCTTTAAGCCACCCTTGTTGTTGTTAGTGGAGAGTGCGGAGAAAATCCTTGGTGAGTGAAGCCAAGGTAGAGGACTAGGCTCCAAGTGGTTGGACCGAACCTCTATAAATCATTGAGCAAGCTCTTCTTCTCTACTCTCTTTCATTTTGGTTTCATGGTTGCAAAAAGAGGAGAATTTTTGGAACTCCAATTCACCCCCCCTCTTGGAGTACATTGAGTCAACAATTTCAACTTAACTTTTTAGCAATTTAATAATTGATCTTATTTTGTTGTTGTATCTACTTTAAGTTATATTATGTTAATTTTAAATGTAGTTCTTTTAATTTAATGGTATATATAAAGAAATTTTTAATTGAAAAAATATATATAAATTAATATTTTAATAATTATTTT